ATTGATGTTCATCATGGACACTGGCTTGAAGTTTTCTTTTTGTGTTGTGTCCCTGCTAGGTATGGTGCCAGAAGGATCATGGCCTCATAGAATGAATTGGGCAGGAGTCCCTCCTTCCCATTTTTCTGGAATAGTTTCAGTATAAATGGTAATGGTAATGTACATCTGGTAGTTCCAAAAACAATAAGTCACTGCAGGTTACTTTGCATTTCATAAGACTTTATATAAACAGAATCATAGAATATGTAATATTTTTGTCTGACTTCACTTAGCTTTTTTTTTTTTTTTTTTTAGTTTAATGCATTATGTGTATATCAGTTCTTCATTTCCATTGTTGGATGGCATTCTGTCGTATGGATATGCCACCATTTTTTATCCACTCCCCTGTGGATGAGTAATTAGCTTGTTTTCAGTGGTACTCTGAACTCAGGGAGGGGTGGAAGGGAAAGAAGGGGTATGGGGTAAAGGGGGTGAAAAGAGAGAAGAAAGGAATTTTTAAAAGGCATTAGATAACTCTCAAGGATGATACATACATTAAACTGTCTTGATTTTAATGCATAGATGTATACATATGTCACAACTGGTTAAACTGTGCACTTTGAATATGTGTAGTGTGTTGTATCTCCACAAACTGTTAACAGTTAATGGTGAGTCTATTTTTCATCCTGCTAATAAGTACACTTAATCTCCCATTTTTAGAAAAGTTCTAGATAGATATTATCTTATACATAACAGGATCAATGTTTTCTTAGAGTTTATAATTATTTCTTATTTCATTCTAAAAATGAAAATTATATGCATAGTTTTTGTAAATTATACCTTTTTGTGAGCAAAGTATAATTTAACATGTAAAATATTCTTACAGGATGAACTGCTAAAACATCCAGTTTAGATTTCTCTCTCTGCCACCTGACTATCACACTTTGACATTTCTGCTTTCTACATAATGTCCTCAGGCAATTAATTTTCTCCTTTTTCATACAGGCTGTTTGTCATGGTGGTATATTTTATTTTTACTTTATGGGAGTGGTAATGAATGTTTAATTTCATGATGCAAATACCACTGAATGCCATTCAAATACTTTTTTAAAATATAGATTTCATGATTCATTACATGGATTAAAATATTGCTAAAGTTATAACAACTGCTTCAGTGGATAAAACAGTGAATCGATACCCTCTAGTCATAACCTTAAGAGTTGATGAGTTATTCAGAATTTAGTTGATAGCAAACGCAATAATTTGTGCGCTATTTCTTACACTCTCTCAGGGTTTATGAGGCCTTAAAAGCATTCAGATGGCAATTTTGTGTTATTAGAGATAATTTCTTGTACCTTATGGCCACTTGTCAGTGGCTGCTGAGCTAATCAACAATCATATTGAAATTAATCACTTGTTTGCATATTTCATAGATTCATAATACTGGAAATTAAACATATCGACAAATATTTATTTTATAATTTAAAAATTTATGTTTCTTAAATATATGTGATAATTTTGTCTTTTATGTGAATACTTTGCATAGCTAATTTTTAATTTATGTTGTTCTTGAAGACTTGTTTCTATTTAGGTTGGCTATTTTTTTTAGATTCCGTGTTTAGCAAACATTTATGTTTCCTAAATCGAATGGATAACTTTAAAAATTCATTTGTATGAAGAAAATGCAACACAGGCATAACTCGGAGACATCATAGGTTCAGTTGCAGATCACTGGAAATAAAGCAAACACTGCAATGGAGCAAGTCGCATTAATTTGTTGGTTTCCTGTGCATACAAAAGTTATATTTATGGTATCCTATAGTCTATTATGTGTGAAATAGCATTCGGTCCATAAAGCAAGGTACCAGGCATAATTTTAAAATACTTTATTGCTGAAAAATGCTAACAATCATTTGAGCCTTCAGTGAGTAAAAATCTTTTTCCTGAGGGAGGGTCTTCTTGCCTTGATGTTGATTTCTGCTGACTGATCAGGGTGGTGGTTGCCAAAGATTGGGGTATGTGTGGCAGTTTCTTACAAGTAGATAACAATACAGTTGACCACTTTGATTTACTCTTCCTTTCATGAAAAGTTCCTCTGGAGCATGCAGTGCTGTTTGATAGCAGTTTGCCCACAGTAGAACTTCTTTCGAATTTGGAGTGAATCCTCTCAAAACCTGCAGCTGCTTTATCAACTAAGTTCATGTAATATTCTAAATTCTTTGTTGTCATTTGAACAATGTTCACAGCATCTTCACCAGAAGTAGATTCATCTCAGGCATCTCAAGAAACCACTTTCTTTGCTCATCCAAAAGAAGCAACTCCTCATCTGTTAAAATTTTATTAAGAAATTATAATAAATCAGTAATGTCTTCAGGCCTTTTTTTTTTTTTTTTTTTTTAGATGGAGTTTTGCTCTTATCGCCCAGGCTGGAGTGAAATGGCACAATCTTGGCTCACTGCAGCCTCTGATTCCCGGGTTCAAGTGATTCTTCTGCCTCAGCCTACTGAGCAGCTGGGAGTACAGGTGTGTGCCACTATGCCCAGCTAATTTTTGTATTTTTAGTAGAGACAGGGTTTCATCATATTGGCCAGGCTGGTCTGGAACTCCTGACCTCAGGTGATCCTCCCACCTCGGCCTTCCAAAGTGCTGGGATTACAGGCATGAGCCACCGTGCCCGGCTGTTTTCTTGCTATTAAAACCATATCTGCAGTGATTTCCTCCACTGAAGTCTTGAACCCCTCAAAGTTACTGATGAGGGCTAGAAATAACTTATTTAAACTTCTGTTAATATTGATATTTCAACCTCTTTCTATGAAACATGAATGTTCTTAATGGCATCTAGAATAATTAATTCTTTGGAGAAGGTGTTCAATTTAGCTTTCCCAGATCCATCAAAGAAATCACTATCTATGGCATTATAAATTTATGAAAGGTATTTTATTAAATAACAGGGCTTGATAGTTGAAATTACTGCTTGATTCATAGGCTACAGAGTGGATGCTGTGTTCACAGGCATAAAAACATTAATTTTAAGAAAAAAAAATTATCTGAGGAATTCCAACCACTTAATTATCAGTCCCAGAGAGAAATGGGAATGAGGCAGCAGTCAAACATCTGCCTCCCCACTTGAAGCTGCTTGCAGTGTGCACTCTAGACTGTCACCACAAATGGCTGCAAATTAACCTAAGAATGCCACATGCTGGACACTGTAGCCCATACGCTCTAGTTCACAATGTATAGATAATCACTAATCATTGTCATTTCTGTAAACCATTAGGATTCCTAAAAAATAACTTTGTATCAGCCCGCTCCTTGTCTTTTTTGCCTCTAAAAACCTGCCTGTAACAAAGGCCAAATGGGGCTCATACTACAAGGTTACTTGGGTTGAGGCTTCCGAGCAGCTGCCTCATCTTGGTTCAAGTAAATTACCTAAAATTATATTTTGTGCCTTGGCTTCTTCCTTTAGGTCAATAGTCTCCTTATACATCTTCATCAGAGCTCTTGGGTGAATAGGTGCATTGTCAATGGGCAGATACACTTTGACATTAATCTTTTTTTTTTCCTGAGTAATAGGACTCAACAGTGGGCTTAAAGTATTCAGTAAGGCATGATGTAAAATGTTGTGCTGTCTTCCATGCTTTATTGTTGCATTTATAGTGCACAGACAGAACAGATTTAGCATAATTATCAAGAGTCTAGGATTTTCTGAATGGTGAATGAATGCTGGCTTCAACTTAAAGTCACCAGCTACATTATTCCCTGTTAGGAATTCTTCTCATTAGCTATGAAAGTTGCACATGGTATCTTCTTCCAATAGAAGCCTCTTTTATCTGCCATTGAAAACCTTTTACTTATCAATAATCTTAGCTAGATCTTCTGGATCACTTGCTGCAGTTTCTATATCATCACCTTATAACTTTAATGTTACAGAGATGGCTCCCTTCCTTAAACCTCATGAACTACCCGCTCCTAGCTTCAATCTTTTCTTCTACAGCTTCCTCACCTCCCCCAGCCTTCACAGAATTGAAGAGAGTGAAGGCCTTGCTCTGGGTTAGGCTTTTGCTTAAGAGAATGTTGTGACTGGTTTGATCTTCTCTTTAGTCCACTCAAACTTTCTCCATATTAGCAATAAGGCTGTTTTGCTTTCTCATCATTCATGCATTCACAGGAGTAGCACTGTTAATTTTCTTTAAAAACTTTTCCTTTGCATTCAGAACTTTGATAACTGTTTGACTCCAGTGGGCAAGCTTTCAGCTTATCTCAGCTTTTGACATGCCTTCCTCACTAAACTTAATAGTTTCTAGCTTTTGGTTTAGAGTGAGAGAAGCCTGACTTTCCTATTACTTAAACACTTAGAGGTCATTACAGGATTAACAATTGACCTAATTTCAATATTATTGTGTCTCAGGGAATAGGGAGGGCCAAGGAGAAGGAGAGAGATGGGGGAACTGCTGGTCAGTGAAGCAGTCAGAATATATACAACATTTATTGGTTAAGTTCACAGTTCTATATGAACATGGTTCTTGGTGCCTCCAAGCAATTACAATATAAACATCAAAGATCACTGATCACGGCTCACCATAACAAATAGAATAATAATGAAAGAGTTTGAAATACTGTGAGAATTACCAAAGTGTGACACAGAGACAAGAAGTGAGCACAGGCTGTCGGGAGAATGGCACATGTAGACTTGTTTGATGCAGCATTGCCACAAACCTTCAATTTGTAAAAAAAAAAAAAAAGAAAAGAAAGAAAAAGAAAAAAAGAAATGCAATATCTGAGAAATACAATAAAATGAAACACAAATGACTTTCCCAACCCACACAAGCAAATGCAGTGTAAGTCCTGTTTTCAGGTAGGAGATCAAGGAGACTTCTGGTCTATATCTGGCCTTACTACCAGCTAGAAGTGTATGATTTCCTTCATTCCCAATTTTCCTACCTCTAGAAGAGGGGTTTGGTTAATTGACAAGTTTCTTTTGAACTCTAACAGTGTCATTAATTTTTGTTACTTTGGAACAGGATCCTTACATGTCAAAGTTACGTTTGAGGAGAAAAAGAACTCAGTTAATATTTTTGACAATATAATATGAAAGTGACACAAGAATTCGAGGGAAAGGAATCTGAATATTCAGGCTCACTAGTTTCCACAACGATTTACTCAGCAGAAAAATGAATACTCGCTTGCTTCTCCAAACTTTTGCCACGGCAGACAAAGCCCAAGGCACAAGAAGAGATTACAGTAAATTTTATGTCTCACATTAAAATCTTCCAAATATCTTCAATCTGATAATTTGTGCCAAAAGACATCTGATTTACAATTATAATTTCAATGTGTGAAAAGCATTTGTTTAGACTGTTTTATTTTATTTTGGTTTTCTGATGGTTTGTTTGTTTGGAGCTCCCTTAGTTTCTACTCATTCAAGGTAAGTGACTAAAATGTAATGATTTTACTGATGTACTTTCCCATTTGCAATCGACTGGTGAGAAAGAATATGATCCATCAAAATTTGTACAAAAGAAAATATATTCTCTTTCATTTAAATGAATTTCTGTGTCAGAAACAAACAAACAAAAAAAAAGATTTGGCAACTGAAAGAGTCAATTCCAGCCACTACAGGCTAAAGTTAATTCCCTGCCAACTGTTTTGCTTTCAAATGTAGAGCCCCACATAGCAACATTCCAAGTCTAGTGTTAAAGATTAAGCCAATCTCTAAAAAAGAAAAGGACTCTGATATTTGTGCTTTTGCAAATAAAATGCTGAGAGTAACTTTGGAATTACATTCTAAGACAGTCATCAAGGTTGACAGAATATATCAGATATTAATGGAAAGATTTAGATTAGAAAGGCAGGGGCTAGAAAAGTGGTTTGCCTGTGGAGGTCCCTGTGTTGATTGTTTCCTCAGGGAGATTACATTGCAAAGGGCTCTTATTATTTTCAAAGTAAGCAGAAGAAAAATGATTTTCTCAGTTCCCCAAAAATGTATTTATAAGCACAACACAACTACTAAATCATATTACTCCAGGCTCATGTAGGTGAACAAGTATTTTGTTTTCTTTTTCTAAACATCTTTTTTTAAAATCAAGAACAGATTACTATTGCAGAAAGAGTGAAAGTTATTTATTTCAAAACCAGGTGGCTGAAAGAGGGTTTACCAGGAACTATTCCTCAGACATGAACAAAGTTCTTTGCCCTTTTATATACAAAAGAAGATTGGGAAAAAAAGTAACATTTTAAAAGCAATGCAAATACATGGAAAAATAAAATCTGAAAGTATTCAAACTTAAGGGTTTAGTTTTGGTTACATGCATTTGGCCACATGACAGAAATTGCTTTATTTCTTTGTTTTCACCTTTTATCTGCTAGTATGGGGCTAATTCTTATAAAATAGTATCATATAAATCTTACTATATCAAACAAGCAAAGACTTTCCCTATACAAAATAAAAAAGCTGTTATATCTTCTTATTCACCCAAAGTCTAACTTTTAGGTAAGACAGAGTAAACATGCTTTTAAAAATGCATCCATTTTATTTTATTTTTTTAGATAGAATAGGAATTAGTCCTTTAGCTATACTGTGTATAACATTTCTAAGATAGTCTCATTTGTGGTAGGGATAATTTGTTTTATAAATGCTTTTATTTTTTATGCATAAATGGTGTTCTTATAATTTCTATTCACAAAATTATTTTATCACTATTTAAATTGGTAATATGTGCATATTCTTTCTGATTGTTAACTTTTCATATTTCTCTTTCCAAGAGTTAACTTTTCACTATATAAGTATCAACTTCAAATGGTCAGTTTTTCCTGCCGATATCAGTGTGCAGCCACAATAGATTTTAATCTAAGACCATATATTCTACATGACTTCCAAAGTTTCGAATGCACTAAGTCTTGTATAAGCACTAACTTTTTAAAATTGTGTCTTTTTTTTTTTTCTTGAGACAGGGTCTCAGTCTGTTGCTGGAGTGCAGTCAGTAGTCTCAGGCTGGAGTGCAATGGTGTGATCTCAGCTCACTGCAACCTCCGTCTCCAGGATTCAAGCAATTTTCGTGCTTCAGCTTCCCGAGTAGCTGGAATTACAGGCGTGAGCCACCATGTCTGGCTAATTTGTGTAATTTTAATAAGACAGGTTTTCACCATGTTGGCCAGGCTGTTCTCGAACTCCCAACCTCAGGTGATCCACTTGCCTCGAATTCCCAAAGTGTGGGATTACAGGCACAAGCCACCATGCCTGACCAGATCCTCTCTTTTCAATATGTCCTTTTAGTAACTTATTTTGAGACTTGAAGAGGAACTTTCTCTCACCTTTACTATTTATTGGACTAACTGTTTTATAAATGGGTAACTCTAAAGTACACAGAAAAGGTGCAGAATTACCATGGCACGGGAATGTTCTCTCTGTTCCCACTGTTTTATAGGAACAGTGAAACTGCATGGTCACTCCATGCTTTTCCTGCTTCTCTGGAAGAATGTTTACTTCAACAAATATTTTGTTTCTTCTATGTGTAAGACTTGTATATTAGGTACTATATCCAAACTACACTTTTCCTTCAAAGTCCAAATCAAGTTTATAGTTGCAGCCATATGTTTATTGGACTCTTTGTCCCAAACTCTCTTTCACTTTCTGAAATTGATCTGTTCACATATACAGTAAGCCATAATTACATTTGTGTACCATTCTCTAATTGCTTTCTTTAAATATGCTTTATTTTGCCCATTATTTTGTAAAATTAAGAAGACTCTGCTACTTCTTTTGTATCCCTACCACAAATGAGACTTAGAGTACATAATTCAATAATGGATACTTATCATTGATCAATACTTTTCAGCTTAAGTCATTAGCTAAGTCACTGTTGACTTAAGACCTGTCTAAGCCCAGTCACTGTTGAATCCACATAAATATATTGAAAGTTTCTCCCAGATTTTCTGGAATAGTCAAATATCCTGTCTAGTTGCCCATAGGAATATAGGCATTTTTGTCAAAATGTACATTTCAATTAGGTTTGGCAAATATGTTAATTATAATATGGACATTAAATTGGTATCTAAGTTCATATATAACTTGTGGGTTGTCCCAAAGATGGTTCTCTAGAGTAACTTGAGTCACTTTCTAAACATGATAAAGGGTTGATAGAACAACCTGCATAAAGATAACACAAACTCATAGCAACAACAGAAATCAACGATCAAATCCATTTCTGTAGTAAAGGGAGAGAATTATGAATATTCCTTAAATACCAGAGAAACATATACGCTAAATTATTATTAATAAATAGAAAGCATGAAATTACATGAAAACCAAACTGATAAAGAACAAGAGAAAGAACTGACATTTAAAGTTAACTTACACTATCATAAATACTATAGACTACATTGTTAACTATTTTTTCTTCTCCAAGAGAAGGCTGAGGAGAAATAAGCTGTGATCCTACACAAGCCATTTATTCTTTTTCTGACTGTTGCATAATCCATAAAATGACTCTAGAACCTGTATTCCATAAGTTGCTGGACTTGGTTTGCAGATTTCTGAATTATTCATCAGATGAAAATCTAGAAATGTATTTAAATTAGATCAGATCAGAGGATATTGCTTTGATTAAAATATGTGTGTGTAAGATTGCAGTCCTACCACTCCATAAGTTTGTCCAAAGTACTCCACAACATGTCTGCACACTGTCAATGCTCAAGTAGGCCATTTCTAAGGGCTCCTTACATCACAAACTAAATGATTCCATCATTCTATTCTGATTTATTTGGAGCCTGCCTCCATATGTCTAATCTTAGACCAGACCAGCCTTTGCATGTTAGAAAGCCAAGAAGCTGTTAGCCTGTTTATTGGTGTTTGCTTGGTTTCACAGTGACATCAGCTTATAAAAAGGCTAACTCTATAAAAGACTGAAATTAAGGACCCACAAAAAGAATTTCCAGCACTTGTCATTTCTGCTGGATTCTGAATGACTCATGCCTCCCAACAAGATCCTGAATTTGGAAGCTGTATATTCAAATGCCAGAAGGATTTAGATGTGAATGTGCAGACAGATGCATAAATAAAATGACTGTCACTGACTTCTTATTTTTCTTCATAAAATAAGTGCTGTGATTCTGGCTAATCTTGTCACAGCCATTGTGCCATAAAGGAAGGTATTATTTGAATATTAAAATCAATCAACTTTTTATACACATCTAAGATTTGCTCTACCTAAACTTGTGGATGTACTTAGGAATGCAGTATTTGAAACTAAGGGGAAAAATGTTTAGGCACATTGGAAAGAAATCTATAGCATTTCTCCCTTAGAGAAAGAAGAAATAATTTTTAAAAGCAAATGATTTTTGCAGACTTTTTAATACCAGTATTTATCCTTATTTTTCTCCTGCAGAGATGAACAGACCAAATTGGATTACTTTTTGGGGGTTTTTAGGATCTTTTTTTTTAACCCTCTAGTTTATTTTATATATAATTACTATAAAACAAATATCATTTAGGTCACTTATCTAATGAACAACATACAAATGTTTAATTTCTCCAGGATCTGGCTTCAGTACACTTTTCAGTCTGTTCCTCAAGGTGCTCCTATACGTAGCTTATACTCCTGTCAAGGTTTATGACTTATTATTACTATTAATACCCATTATTTTTTTTCTCCTCTGCACCTTGTTCTAACTCTTCTTCCAGGAATGCTATTCTCATATTGCCACATGTTTATATTTTAGTCAACATGAAAGTCTCAACTTATTAGCCTTCTCTGGTCACTTTTGCCAAAACTAATTTTTACGAGACATGAACCCCCATTGTATTTTATTCTTTACATATAACCTATATCAATTTCTTAATTTCTTCCTTGCATTTATGCCTTGTCTTTAGTATAAATTTATTGAAAACATAGATAATGCATTCATTTCAGTATCTTGCTAGAATTTAACAAATTTTCTGGTGCAGAGTAGACATGCAATGCCCTTGCATATATTTTTGAAAAAATATCTTCCCCTAAGATAAGGGCAAAGTAACTCTAGATGTAGCCAGATATGATCCTGTGCAGAAGCAGATGATTGGTGCTCAAATCAGAGTGTGTGAATCAGCAATAAAAATATTCCATTCAATTCTAATAATTTCCAGAGAATAATAATTTTCCATAACCATTGCACAACTCTATACTATGTACTGTTATAGTAATGGGGAGAAGAAACTCAGCTCTCTTTTTGAGTTCTCTGGAGTAATGGGCAAGTTTATTTTGTACAAAGTCATCAAGAAAAAGTGAACTTAATTTTTTTTCTTTTATGTAATTTCAAAATTGTGCTTCTGATAATTAATTACAAAACACATTCCCTCAAGAGTGAT